TCCCACTCCCACTCCCACTCCCACACCACTGCCTATTCATTAAGATTCATTTTTAATTATCTTTATATACAGAAGACCAATTCTATACTAAGTAGAGATTTCAACAGTTTGCACCCACACAGATATACAAAGTACAAAGTACTGTTTGAAGACAAGTTTTACTGTTAATTCTCATAGTATACCTCATTAAAGACAGAGGTCCAACATGGGGAGTAAGTGCACAGTGACTCCTGTTGCCGATTTAACAATTAACATCCTTATTTATGACATCAGTGACCACCCGAGGCTCTTGACATGAGCTGCTAAGCCTATGGAAGCCTCTGGAGTCCACAAACTACATCGGTATTTAGACAGGGCCATATGCAAAGTGGAAGTTCTCTCCTCCCTTCAGAGAAAAGCACATCCTTCTTTGATGGCCCCTTCTTTCCACTGGGGTCTCACCCACAGAGATCCTTCATGCAGAACAGTTTTTGCCACTATGTCTTGGCTTTCCATGCCTGAAATGCTCTCATGGGATTTTCGGCCAGATCTGAATGGCAGAGGCTTAACCTTGTCTGCCACAGTGTCGGCCCCTCGAAATGGTTTTTAAAGAGCTCATTTCAGGTGTGCTCTGGGAATACAGGGATAAACAGGATGGTCTTTGCCCCGTGCAAGACCATGGTACAAAGGAATCATGTCACTAGAGCAGGAGTTCATCTAAAGTATGGTTAAATACCCATGGGCACCTCTGACGGGGCCGAGGTTGCCAATCCAGCCAGTGCAATGTTTCCATCAGACTGGTCATGGGGGAGGCTCAGGCTTCTACAGTATCCTGATGCCACCTCTAGTGCGCTGGGCAACAGACATGGACTGAAAGAGTAACGTCTTGTCCTTACTCTTCTGCTCCAGTAGCCACGAATGCACAGGGATAGAGGGAGGGTTTGTCAGCTTGTCTGCACCCTCATCGCTGATGGAGCTCTTGCAGGTTTCCCTTTGCCAGTGCTGTAGGGGGCAGGGGTTCCCGGCAAGGGTGTTAGAAAGCGGGTCAAGCTGACGATTGGGAAACACAGGTCTTAGTCCGACCGGGCCACTTATTAGCTGGGCAATTTACTTAGCCTCTTGGAGCCTTGCTTTTCCCTGCTATAGAGGCAAATAACAGTATCAACACTGAGGGGTTGTTTTAAAATTATACAGAATAATATATAGCACATAAACTGCTCAGCATCATGCCTGGCGTGTGGTCTATGCCAATACATAGGACTTATTTTTATGAATAATAGAAGTAGTAATGGGCTCGCATTGGTGCCCAAAGGTGAACTCAGGGCATCAAAGCCAACCTCCTCATTTACAGTGACTATCAAATGCTTGCTGCGCCCCAGTTCCCTGGATGGCTATGGCAGCATCCAAGCAGGCTACTGGCTGGACAAACAGGGCACTGAGTCTGGGACTGGGGCCTCTGCCTTCTAGCTCTGGTTGGCTCCCAAAGTCCCCAGGTAGCTTGGACACGGACACCCCCTCCAGTCCTTGCTCAGTAATCCCTCCCCATTGAGCTTAGTGTTTTGGGTGGTGGGTCCTCAGCAGGATGTGCTACAGCAGCCTCCAATGAGCTCTGCTAAAATACACAGGCCGCATCCCACCCTGGACTGGAGGGATCACCATTTCTCCGGCAGGGCATTGCTAAGTGCATTTTGCCTTCCCAGGCAATGCTGATACACAGGCCTGGGGAAGAATTATTGTCTTCACAAATGGCTCTCTGCTCAGCATTGCCTCACTCAGCAGGCACAGCAGGAAATCCTCCAGCGAAATTTAATGGTGTCCATGTAGCTTTTCAAAGCTGGAGATACGGACCCTGTGACGATAAGGAACCCATGTCAGAGGAAGAACTGTGTATACAAGGGCTCTGCACGTGCCCCTGCTGGACATGACTCAGCTAGGTCCTTAACAAAAGGAAGCTGTTATTAACATTGCTTGTGCATCGGCCTCAGGGTCCCTAGCTCTTTGGAAGACCCGTTTCCATTTTAGGAGAAAAGACTCCAAACCCAAGAATTAACAAACCAAATTGGCTGTTTGGGAAACATTCAGAAATTGTGATGAGAGGACTCACACACAAGTTCGCAGCAGCGATTTCAAGACAGGGAAGCCCTGTAGACTTGCTTCCATTTCTCTTTGCTTCTAGTGAAATAAAAAGGAGGCCAGTATGTTGGAAGCCCGTGATGGGTTTCCGTAGCTCCAAGTTCTATGAACGTTGCAAACGACAAAGGGCTGTGGCCTTTGATTTTTGCCGGTCCAAAATCACTCATCCTTGAGGCTTGAGGCTCTCAGTGCTGCATGCAAGTCACACTTCCAACCGAGCCCATTGGCAGTGCACCTGCCCTCTGCCAAGAAACTCAGAGCGTGGGGAAGCGGCTCCTTCGCAGCCTTCTTTAGATTCCCCAGAACTGGGCTATGAAAGGCTCCAAGAATTTAGGCCAGAGAGGGAGGTCGTCCCGCTGGGGGAGAGTTTGGAGGCGAAGTTACAGAGGCCGGATGAGACATCTGAGTTTGAAAGGTCACCAAGCTCAAGGCTACACCAAGAGCAGGAGCAGTAGCAACTGCATCCCTGGGGGCTGCAAGTATAGGGTTCAAAGGTGATGTTCAAGGTCCTCACCCCCAGCCAGACCCGAGGCTGCATCTGGCTGGTCTGTCCAGCCTCTGCCAGTCCAGCTTGGGTGACTACAAAAGGCATTTTGGTTTAGTGGTCCCATAAGACAACTTGTCCTGAGATCTAATCTCTCTCCCCCTGACACCTCCTATCCCTCCGAGGCTTTACTCTTATGCTACCCGTTGACTTAGAAGCTATGCCGGGACAGCCAGCACTCATGGGGAAAGTGGCCCGTCACCCCCGCCGTGCTTTGTTAACACAGAGGGAGAACCTGGAAAACACCCTGTCTGCCTCGGTCGGACCCGTACCCCCACTGAAATTTGGTCTGTGTGCACCTTGAGTAGATTTTGTGTCTCGACAAAGTTCCCGGAGCTGCGTGCCCGGAGACGCAGGATCCGGCGTGGGGGATGCCAGTCCCGCAGAGCCCTTCCTGATGCGACCTTATCATGGAACCTCTGCTTGAGGAAGACTTCGGCAACACAACGAAGTGCGATGAAAGTCGAGGCGCTCCGGCTCTTAGAGAAAGAGGCACCGCAGGCAGAGAACAGCGGAGACACGAGGCGCTCGGCGCTCGGGGTCGCTTCCCAGCCGTGGCGGCGAGCGGCCAGCAGGTGTCAGTGCGCCCTCGCTCTGCCGCCACGCGCGGCCTCCGCCTCCAGGACCCCTCCCCGCAGCGAGCTAAGGGGGCGCGGTCCGGAGTCCGGGCTGCTCTGGTCCCGCAGACACCTCTGGCTGCGGGGAGGGGTGGGGGGGGACACACGTGGCCGCCTCTTCCCCCGAGGGGATGCCTGATCCCTGGCCTGGCCCGGCTCGCTCCCCCGCGGGTGCTGTCCATTCCGCCCCAGGGGCTCGATCCGAACCCGCACCTTCCTTCCCCGCCACGAATCCTCGCGCCCCGGCGGCCAGGAGCACCTGCGGACGACGGCGGCCTGGCTGTTGGGGTTGCGAACCGTGCCGGAGGCGAGGCGGCTTCTCCGGATTTGGGCCACGGTTCCCCGCCAGCCCCTTCCTTGCAGGACCCAGCTGGCTATGGGGACTCCTGGGTGCCCGCCGCCTTCTGCCGGCCCGGCCCGGCACGGCCAGCTCGCAGCAGGAGCCGCCTCCCACTCCTCTGTCTGGTGTCTGTCTGGTGAAGCCCCTCGCTCAAGGTCTCCGCCTCCGGAGCGGGCCGGCTCAGCCTCGGGGGCAGCGCTCCCCGGGGTCCTGCGCGGGGTGCGGGCGCTAGACTGGCGGAGGGGAGGTGCGAGGGGCGGAGGAGGGTCGGCTTCCCACGTGGGGGCTGACGCCGGCTGCTCGGCGACGCCGGCTTGATCCTGGGACTATAAAACCAGTCCACCGTAGCGCGGCGAGCAGCAGCGGCTCCGGCTTCCGTGCAGACGCCCAGCGGCCGGCGCGCCGCCGCCCGGCCACCCCAGCGCTGTCTCCGCGGCCGCGCGCTCCTGCCCCAGCTCACGCCGTCCCCGGACCCCCGGCCCGGCCGGCTGGCAGGGCTCGGCGCCCACCCGGTCGACGGCCAGGAGACGCCCTGCCACGGGCCGGCGGCTCCCGGAGCGGCGCCTGCTCACCTGCCCCCAGCCTGCCTGAGCCCTGGGGCGCTTTCATGCGGCGCCCACACCCCTCGCCCCGCCACCGCCCCCGAGCTCCGCGCGTCGCGCTCCAGCCCCCGCAGGGAGCGCAACTTTGGAAGTCCCGCGGCGCTCCGAGAGGCGGCGGAGTCGGTGCCCTGGCCCCGGGCCGAAGGCGGCCCGCACCGCCGCGCCTGGGGGCAGCGAGAGAGCCGGTCCTCGCCTCGGGGATCTAAGGAGACAGACGCAGGACCCCAGCCCGCACCCGCACGCCGGCTCCGCTTCCTGGGGGCGCGGCGGACCTCGCACACGGTAAGCCCTCTCGCTTTCGCTCAGGCTCAGGAGTCGAGATACACATATATTCCGTACATATAGAACTTGCAGACACAGAAACAATTTCCTGTCGCCCTTCCAAGCCAGCCGGCCACCGATGATTTCTGTTCCTTCTTGAAGAATAAATCTCGTTTTGCCCACCGGCTCACTCGCCCTAATCTCTCCCTTGGCGGACAAACAAAACTTGGCCGTGTACAGGGGCCCCGAGAGAGAAGGCGCCCACGCGGAGCGCCCGCAGCGGCGGCCGGCGCTGTTCGCGGGAGCCGGGACCATGAGCCCCCACTAGCGCCCTCCCAGCTCGGGCGCGGCCTCCCCGCGGCCCCCTCCCTATGTGAGGCGCTGCGGGGCGCGCGGGGCGCGGGAGGAAGAGGAGGACCCACGGACGCCGGGCCGGAAGGCTGCTGGCAGCAGGCCCGGGCGAGCGGGCGCCCGCGTTCATGTTCCGCCAGGAGCAGCCGCTGGCCGAGGGCAGCTTCGCGCCCATGGGCTCCCTGGAGCCGGACGCGGGCAACGGGAGCTGGAACGGGAGCGAGGCGCCAGGGGGCGGCGCCCGGGCCAGCCCGTACTCCCTGCAGGTGACGCTCACGCTGGTGTGCCTGGCCGGCCTGCTCATGCTGCTCACCGTGTTCGGCAACGTGCTGGTCATCATCGCCGTGTTCACCAGCCGCGCGCTCAAGGCGCCCCAAAACCTCTTCCTGGTGTCGCTGGCCCTCGGCCGACATCCTGGTGGCCACGCTTGTCATCCCCTTCTCGCTGGCCAACGAGGTCATGGGCTACTGGTATTTTGGCCAGGCGTGGTGCGAGATCTACCTGGCGCTCGACGTGCTCTTCTGCACGTCGTCCATCGCGCACCTGTGCGCCATCAGCCTGGACCGCTACTGGTCCATCACGCAGGCCATCGAGTACAACCTGAAGCGCACGCCGCGCCGCATCAAGGCCATCATCGTCACCGTGTGGGTCATCTCGGCCGTCATCTCCTTCCCGCCGCTCATCTCCATCGAGAGGAAGGGCGGCGGCGGCGGCGGCGGGCGGCAGCGCTGCGAAATCAACGACCAGAAGTGGTACGTGATCGCCTCCTGCACCGGCTCCTTCTTCGTGCCTTGCCTCATCATGATCCTGGTCTACGTGCGCATCTACCAGATCGCCAAGCGCCGCACGCGCGTGCCGCCAAGCCGCAGGGGTCCGGACGCCTCCGCCACCACCACCGCCGCCGCCGCCGCCGCCGCGCCAGCCGGGGCCGCCGAGCGCAGGCCTAATGGCCTGGGCCCCGAGCGCGGCGCGGGCTCCGCGAGCGCCGAGACCGAGCCGCTGCCCACGCAGCTCAACGGCGCGGCTGGCGAGCCCGCAGCGGCCGGGCCGCGCGAAACCGACGCGTTGGACCTGGAGGAGAGCTCGTCGTCCGAGCACGCCGAGCGGCCCCCGGGGCCCCGCAAGCCGCGGGCCCCGGGCAAGGCCCGAGCGAGCCAGGTGAAGCCCGGGGACAGCATCCCTCGGCGCGCGCCCGGGACCGCGGGGCCCGGGGCGTCGGCGGCCGGGCCCGGGGAGACACGCGCCGGAGGCGCCAAGGCGTCTCGCTGGCGCGGGCGGCAGAACCGCGAAAAACGCTTCACGTTCGTGCTAGCCGTGGTCATCGGGGTGTTTGTGGTGTGCTGGTTCCCCTTCTTCTTCACCTACACGCTCACGGCCGTCGGCTGCTCCGTGCCGCCCACGCTCTTCAAGTTCTTCTTCTGGTTCGGCTACTGCAACAGCTCGCTGAACCCGGTCATCTACACCATCTTCAACCACGACTTCCGCCGCGCCTTCAAGAAGATCCTATGCCGCGGGGACAGGAAGCGGATCGTGTGAGCCGGCGAGGCGGTGCGGGGACCCGGGTCCTGCCCGCTGCTGCCCCCGATTCCAGGCTCGGAGATTCCCCCTGCAGTTCGCAGGAGGGCAGGTTCCTGCCGGCAGGGCTGGCCGGCCATGCGCACCCCCGCCCGGCCGCTGTCGGGTGTCCTGGTGGGTCCCCCTTCATCAGTGTTGTTTCCTAAAGGCGGGAGCCCCCCACCCCGCACCCCAGACCGGCTTCCCAGTGGACTCCGCAGGGCCCGACTCGCCCAGGGTTAAAGGACAGCGGGGGTCACCCAGCCCTGGCTAACTGGTCTCCCTCCCCACTTGCAACTTTAAAAAAAACAAAAAGCAAGGACAAAAAAACACTCAGGGCAGTCCTGCCCACGCCTCTCACCTCCCACTGTAAATAGACACTATTTTTGATAGGACGCCCCCATCCCTCGGGGGTCCCCAGCCCTGGGTTTGGATGCTGGAATCCAGGCTGCCCTTAGAACCCGCCAGAGGCAGATGGCAGCCGTCCGGCTCAGGCTGACCCCCTTGGCCACACGAACCCCTGCGACCCTTTCCCCAGCCCCTGGTCACTGGCCCTTGGCCCTGGACTTGTTTTGAGATTTCCAGACGGGGAAAACTCTTCTGTCCACGTTTCTCCTTGTGCCTAGCAGCATAAATGCCTTCTCCCATGTAAATAAATATCACAGTGCTGGACCAAGACAGAAGCGGACCAACGCGTCAGTCTGGCATCAGCCCTGTGTTTTGCAAAGCCATGATCCCCCCTGATGCACCGTGCGCCCCCCCTCGCTTGAGAGCCCCCTCTCCCGGGCGCCCCCTCCTCGCCTCCAGGGCCCTGCTTGAAGAGGAGTGCCTGTCCCTGTCTGGTCCCTGTGCGCGCCCCGCCCGCCCGAAAGCGCTGACCGCGGGGAAATCTTGGAGCTGCTGCTTTTAGATGCAGAGGAGTGGAAATTAGGCGGAAGAAGCCAACCTGATACAATTTGCCCAAGGTAAACAGTTTGCAAAGACAAATGGGCCTGCCAAACTGTCCGCTCGCTCCTGCCCCCAGAGCGCTTAGGGATCAAAGTGCCGGCCTCCCGCCCCTGCTTTGCAGGTTGGGATCCCGTGGAGGAGGAGCCGCCGCCGGGGGAGGAGGGTGGAGACTGGTGTTTACAACTGGGTCTCTCCGCGTTGTAGACGCCTGCACTCTTATTTCACTAAAGAAAAACTGATGATGGCGGCACATGTTGCTGATAACAGTGTTTTTTTTTTTTTTAATAAAAGTTTACAGATCAAATGTGAAATAAACATGAATTAATCGGTCGTCTTGTCTGCTGAGTTTTCGAAAGCCATGAGACTCTGGAAACATTTGACTCGATGTGTCTTTTAGCAAGAGCGCGTGTACCTTGCTAAATACCTTTAAACAGGGGTGCAAGAGCAGCACACCCTTTGCCACTGATTCCTGGGTGCCAGAGGTTGTGGGCAGCCTATGCTGGGTGTCATTTGATCTTTCCGGGAGTCCCATGAAGTAAGTTCTACCATTATCCCCATCTTCCTGATAACAAGCTGAGCCCCAGAGAGCAAGTGATGTGCTAGCAAGCGGGGGCAGTCCAGTCCATAGCTTCATCTGGTTCTGGGATCTGTGTCCTTAACCCGGAACCTTTGTTGAGTTACAGTGCTAACACTCAGGATGCCCCAACACTGAGGTCTTTACCCAAAGAATGCTAAATACACATGGGTGTTGGGTCCAGCGCCAGCATTTAGGTCAACACGAAGTGTGTGTATGCCCCCAAAGTGTGTCTCTACCCCACAGTGTGATACACAGGTGTCTTTGTGTGTGTGGCAGAATGTATGAACTACACTCCCAGATGTGCACTACATGTAAAGTGTGACCATATGTAGCATGGTACAAGGGGTGCTTCAAAAAGTTCGTGGAGAAATGGAATTAGAGGTGCTTATTTTAGTGCACACAACTTGAAATCCATACATTAGTGTGATAATCCACATTTCCATGGAGTTTTGGGGGTCTCCCTTCTCTGTACCCCATGGTGCGGTGTGCATGGAGTGTGAGGCCAACCTCTAGGTAGACGTGTGAATCTGCTGGTGGTTCCAACTGTGTCTGCCGAAGGCAGAATGCCTTTCTGTGATTTTGTCTGAGTCCTGGAGGGCCCGAGGTCCTGTAGCACAGTCAGGACCCTTGGAAGCCGGAAGTGTCCTTAGAGATCCTGGAATCCAACCCCTCAGCCGGCAGAGGACGCGGCGGCTCCAGGAGGAAAGGAGCTGCTCAGGGTCCTGCAGCTGTGCACCCAGGGCCCAGGGCCCAGGGCCCGGGTCATCTTAGGACGCAGCTGAGCAGGTTGGGGTGAGTATGTGAATGTGGCCAGGTGCAGCAGATGAGCATTGAGCGCCTGGGTATGGGAGCTGGGTTTGCAGCACAAGCACAGGCCACGGGCTGTAGTTTTGGGGAGGACCAGATGTGGAAAGCTTGGCTGCTTCTAACACCTGCACAGACCGGTGTGGACACGTCTCCTCCGCTTCCTCCACCATGGGTGCATGTAGACGGGAGGGCCCAAAGGCCCCAAGAAGTGATCTGGGCCTTAAGGGGCCTGGGACAGCGAAGACCAGGTTCCAGGCGGTGTCTTGAGAGGTGGGGAGGAGTTCCCATCCACACCTGGGCCCTCCGAGCTTATAGTCAGGAGGGTGGACAAGCACATGGCTGTGGTGACCCTCATTCAGGGGCTTTGCAAACCAGCCTCCAGGCAGGGGCGCCAAGGCTGGCCTCCTGGGCAGGCCTGTTGGCCCATACCCACCTCCTCCCAGCCTCTCCTCTCCCTCCTCCCACCACCAGGGCACCCATCGCCCCAAAGGCAAACACAGTGCCAGACAACAGGCCAGCCTGGCAGGCTTCCAGCCCAGGGCTGTGTGTCCCAGCCTCAGGGACAGAGCTGCACAGTACTTGCTGTTTATGGCTCTGCCGCTGTGACAGGGAAGAATTGGTCTAGCCTTCACCCCACTGCTGCTGCCCTGGGAAGGGGCCAGTGTGGTGATGGTGTCACCTGGAGGGGGTGTCTCACCTCCCCCCCCCTCTTGCTGGTAGTTCTCAGAGATGGATGGGGAGGAGAAGAGAAGGTGGGTACCCAGGCTGGGCTGCAGGTTTTCGGGGCTCACTGGAGAAAGCACTGATCATCTTAAGGCTCCAGGGACAGCCTGCAAAGGTGTGGGTTGGGGTGGGAGTGGAGGAGAATAAGTGGCTTCCATAGAGGTCCTGGACAGAGCAGGGGTGAGACCGCAACTCTGCAGCCTCCGGTCCACAGCATCTTGTCCCCAGTAGTGAGCCAAGGGGGTCTGTTGGTGTGGTTGAAGCTCCTGTTTGATGGGACCTTGACTGGGGTATCTAAGGCCGCTGGCTTTTGGGTCTCAGGTGCAAGTGCACCGTGGTGGGGCGGGGGAGTGGCCTCGTTGGGGCCTGGGCACCAACACAAACCTTTGTTCTGTTGCTTCTGTGCTGAAGGCGGGCGGAGGCAATGATGAAACATAGCTTGGGCTTCCCCTCCCTGGGATTCCGTAATTGAATCAGTGCTTTAGAGCCAGAAGCATCCTCAGCTCCTGCATTGTGTGGGTGAGGGACTGAGGCCCAGGAGAGCTGGCTGGAGCTGCGGCATCCCAGGGTCCCTTGGGTCCTCTCCTCTCCATGTCTCTTGCTGTGACCGTGTATTTACCCAATGCAGGTTCTAGCTTGTTGTGCTGGGTGCCTGCTCTGGGTCAAACATGGTGCTAGGCACCGTGAGCCCCTTCTCCTCCTTTCCTGCATGCAACTGTGCAAAGCCCCGCTCCTGTCCCTGCTGGGGTCTGCAGAGATTAGGGCCTCTGGAGACTCTGGAGCTGCATGGGGTGACAGGATGTGCCAGGTGCAGCATCAAGTAGCCACAGTGCCATGAGAGTGTGCCCACTCAGGGCGGGGGCATCTATCCGCACGGTGATTGGTGGCTGTGGCTGGTGGCTCCACCAGTAGGAGAGGGGCAGTGGGCTCCTAGATTTTGGCTGGAGGGCGGGGCAGCTGAGCCCTGTGGGACCAGTGCCAATGGCACCAGGGCACAGGTCAGACCTCAGCTTTCATTTCTCTAACCTGACCCTGGGGGGTGCCAAGGTAAACTGTCTCCTTTTGGGGAGACCTGTCACGAAGCCTACCTCTCTGACACAAGTGTCACAGAAGAATGCAGGCCCCCAGACACCTGCCCAAGGTCAGGCCTGCTCTTGGGAGTCTGCCCTGGGCCCTGCCCCCCAGCTCGGGGACCTGAGAATGGAGCGCAGGAGGGTCCGTTTCTCCTCTCGGTAGAGGGCGAGCCTGCAAGAGGAGCCAGCTGGAGTCAAGGGGCACCATGGCAATCCCTTGAATTGTTTCAGAAGCAGCATTGATCTCTTTGATGACCAGAAATTTTGGGGTTTAGAGTTAACTACAAAAAAGGGAACATGGCCTTTTGAAAGACCCTCGACCTGGACATTAGGTAGTCAGGTTCCAGTGCTAGTTTTGCCTTTCACCAGCTGTGTGGCTTTGAGCAAATCCCTCTCCACACTGCTTTCTAATGTTACATAAAAGTGTGTTCTGTGGAGCGAATTTAACTATAGAGTCAATCTATCATCTACCTATATCCATCTATCATCTATAAATCAATCATATGTCTCATCTATGTATTGATCTATCATCGATCTATATCCATCTATCATCTATCTCTCATCTACATATCAATGATCTATCATCTATTTAGCTATATCTGTCTACCATCTATCTGTCTTCTATCTATGTATCTGTATCTGTCACTGATCAGCTATTTCTCATCTGCATCTAAGATGCTCAGGGGCAATGCTGGGGTAAGTGACCTGCAACAGGAGTCCCTGGAACCTTTATCAGGCCCGTGTGGCTTGTGGCTGACAGAGGGGGACAGCGTGTGTGCTGTCTCCCAAGCTCTCATCTGGGAAGTTTCGCTTTGTACCGAGCACCTCTCCGAATCCGGTAGGCTGGGATACTT